TATGTAAGGCCAAATGCTTTAGGTTGTGATACAAGCTGTGAATATGAAGTTTCTCTACAGGTTGGTTGGACTCACTCTGCAGGACAAGCTTCAGAAAAACATGAAGCTGAACTGCACCTCCACAAAGTTATTGAGGTTGAACAAAAGCACTGCTTTTTAAAAAGCTATTAGGCTATTAAATAACAAAATCAGACAGAAGCAGCAACTATGTCCCTGTTACCTCTAGATAATCTAAAGGTCTTGTTCTAGTTCTGTAGACATTATTTCTGATCTGCCACCCCTACAGTGGCATTATCTCAACATGAAGAGACAGAAGAAAGAGCCTGAAGCTGTTATACTCCCTGGAGGTGTCGCTGCATGGTCTCTAGGGTTGGCAGAGGAGTGGTTGCTGAATGCATTTACATGGTAATGTTGAATGGCTGGGAACAACTGCAGACCTACTGGTTTCAGGCAGGGTGTATAGTGTTGTGTTACCTTGAGACAAAATGGCGGTGGGGCACGCTGACTTCAAATCCCAAATCACCATGCTCTTAGAGACTACATACTAGCACCCCTCGTGGTTACTTGTTGAATAACATGCTGTTTATGGTGTCCAACCACTGTGAGATGTTATCAATATTATTCAATTAAACAGACATTTTATTAAAAGATGTAATAAATACTGAAATCATAAACCAATACTATATGTCAATATAGTATAGAAATATATCACTGTGTGTAAACATAGACCAAGGTTCATCATAGATTGTTAACAATCAACTTAAAAATCATGCAAAACACTCAGAGATATGAAACAAATAAATTGGCAGTTAGATGAATACAATTTGGTGCATTGTATTGCTTCACATGCTGGCCGGGGCTAGAGATGACGGTGACCACCACTGGGTTCCCCAAACCCTTATGGTGGCATGAAACACCTGCTTTCCCTATGCTTAAGAGAATTATTTATTTAGTTACAGAATTAATTAACTCAGTTTTTACATTATATCTATCAAAAAACTGTTGGCTAAACTTACTTGAAACTAAACCCTGGCATTATCCCTTATTCCCCACAAATTATTTAATATTTAGAGTGAGAAACATTAAGTTTTACATCTATCTGTTTTCAAAGAGCAACAGTTTGTGTGCAGGTGGTCAGAACTATTGTCATAAAACCCCTTTTATTCTGAGTGGTGTTGGTCAATCCTATTCCCACAAGAAACCCTAATAACATCCATTAATGCTGTTATAAAACGTATAATAAAAAATTAAATTGTGAAATTCTAACGTGGTTATGTGAAACCCTTTGAAGTATGTAATTAGCTCGTGACCCTTTGATGTAGACAGAAGCAAGGTGTGAAAATGGGGCGTGGTCTAACAGTCATAAATCCCTTGTTTGACACCTCAATTTGACATCCTATTACTCTCTGGCAGGTATAGACATTATTATCTGTCTGATCCAAGTTAAAATTGCAAAAATAAAATAAATATTTTCATTTTAATGACTCCTTGAAGAAAATAACATTCTAGCTACTGAAAAATAGTTATATTAATTGCCTGCCCAGTAACATCCACACACATTATGTCAGGCCTCTCTGCACAAACAAAGCAAATTATGTGTGATTTTCATAGATATAGTACATTGTTTAATATAATGATAATGTTTTGATTCTCTTGGACAACTTTGTTCCCATTTACAGGAAATCCTGAACTATTTCTTCCTTTTTATGAACAAATTGTAATCCAGCATCACTCTGTCCTCAGTGTAAATATGAGAAATATTCAAAAGCGACATTTTCAATGGTATGTGTATTTTATAGGCTTTTAGTGTGTTATGAATTAAAAGCACTTCAATGTTCAGTTATGTGTGTACTCCATATGTGTGTGCAGATGCGGAAGAAGTACCCAGATCACTTACTCAAGTAAAAGTAGCAGTGCAACTGTGTAAAAATACTCTGTTACAAGTAAAAGTCACAATGTTACTTTTACTTGTAACATTGTGACTTTTACTTGTAAAAGTCACAATGTTACTTCAGTAAAACTACAAAAGTATTATCGTCAAAACATACTTAAAGTACTAAAAATAAACACTCATTATGCAGAATGGCACACTTCAAATCAATGTATATCATATTATTGGATTCTAATGACTGACACATTATTAATGTTGTAGCTGGTAAAGGGGGAGCTACTTTTATCTGAATTACTGCTGGCCAGCTTCGGAATTTCCCACCGGGGATCAATAAAATCTAATAATTATAGTGTATTTTTCGCAATAGTCTGGTTCTGAAAAGTAACTAGTAACTAAAGTTATAAAATAAATGCAGTGGACTAAAAAGTACAATAAAAAGTAGTGAAATCAAGGTGCCCTGGCCACCATATACCCTTTTGGGGTTCACAACGTCAGCGGTTCAACTCTGACCTGTGACAGCTGTGTCGCCGGTCTATCTCTCCCTATGTCTCCCCTGTTTCCAGTCTGCCTCTCCACATATCAACTGATTATTAAAGACTACAAAGGCCTGAAAAAAGCTAACAAAAAAAGTAGTGAAGTCAGAGTAGAAATAGCAGAGTAAATGTACTTAGTTACTTTCCACCACTGTGTGTGTATTCTTTCTAGAAGTTATCTGTCTTCATCAGGAGCCCGCCTCATGTTGTGTGAACACACAGCTGCTCCACTCATTCATTGCTCCGCATTTATTGTCATCAGTAAGGAATGCTGAGAGGCAGTCAAATCCTGTACCCAGCTCTTGGTAAACAAATGAATCACATAAACCGAATGCGCAGTGTCTCAGCTAAAACAGAAATGAGTGGCTGTGTTCAAAAGGCATATAAATAACAGATTAAGTGCTGGTTAGAAATCTATTCAGAAGGACCACACCACAGTAAGCTTCTGGCACAGCATATGGTGCCCTGTAACTGACACACATACTGTACCACAGATTATATTTTCAGAGTGAGAGTTGACAAGTAGAGCAAAGAACCAACAGAAATGTATGTATGTATGTACAACAGAACTGTATTACTGTACTGTATGTAAAGAATCTTAAAAGCGGCACTAGTCAGTGTTCCTACTACGTACTGTATATATTAACTATGTGCAATGTCAATTATGTTACTTGCGGTAATGAATCTAAAAAAAGTTTTAGTGTTCTTAGCTTATTATTTTTGTTTTACAATTGCTCTCATCAACCAAATATTTTCAGCAGCAGGCAATTGTTTTAAACTAAAAAGTTAAATGTACACTACCTGCCCAGCATCAATCAGCAGATGAAGTTAGTGTAGAGCATTTATTATCTAAATAGCCAAATTTTAGTTTTTTTTTTCCTCAGGAGGTGGGGGAGACCAAAACAGAGCTAAAAGGAGAGAGAATGCTGGCCTTACTTTCATTGCATGGACAGAGACACAGCTCTAAATACTGTAAATGCTAATGTCCCTCTATAGCTGCTGGATGAGTATATAGGAAACTGTATGCTAAACATTCAGGAATGTTTACTAAATGTACTTTATATGTCAGTGCAGTGTGACCAAAGAAAATTAATGAATGTGGCTATACAGTTGTAATATTTTATAGATCTTTTCCCAAATCAGCTTCATAAAGCAATATCAGTCAATTTTGTGTTTTCAGCTAGTCTCCCTGAAACCTGCCAAAATATCAATGAATGCAGATTTATCATTTAGATACATAAAAGGCTTCAATTGGGTCAGATTTATTTTGACTGCACAATTTTAGCCTACACTGGTATTATGAGGTAGCGTGATGGACATTTCTTTGCCCAGCTGTGACTACAGTGACATTCTAATGACGCAAGTTCCCTGTTGATGGCACGGTTAGTGAGGAAGCAGTGCTAAGTAAATCAATGACCATGTTAAACAGGAACTATGGTGTGAAATGCTCTGTATCACAGCTCCCTCCAGTGGTTGCTAATGGATGTTGACAACTTGCATGAAAACAACTTCACGCCTGACTGTCAAAGAGACTCAGTTCAGTGTGCAGAGTGAAAACATGTATGACCACTGATGTTTACACAGGAAGCAGCTGCAAACTCATCACCCTTGACTGCCTTGTGATTGCATGGGTGTGTATGTATGGGTCTGTGACCACAGTTGCACGTCCATGCAGCTTTAGATGTGTGGGGGGAATTACTGAAACAATAATACTAATTAACCAAAGGTACAGAGTCACATTTAGACCACAGTTCTAGAAACTGTGTAATGAATTAAATGTTTTGACTTTCAGAACAACATCAGTATGTCTTTTTTTAGTGCCAGTATTCAACATTTGTCTTCACTTCTGACAGTTTTAGAGCCCCCCAATATACAAGTCTGCCTTCCTCATTTTGATACTCCTCAAGACAGAAAAGAAAAATGCATCACCACATTACACTGAAAGGCATCATGGTTTCTAGTATAAGAGAATCCTCAGTGACAACAAAGACAAAAGATTAAGAATGACAGAGGCAAGGGGCACAGCAACCAAAAATAAAAACCAAAAGCAGTGTCTTTATTGTGAATGTAAGAGGGGGAGGTAAGATGAGTCAGGAAGCAAAGAGAAAAAAATGGCTGCAGGGGGGTGTCAAAAAAAAGTGTGAGACGTGGTAAATGTAAAGTTTTACATTCCACAGACTGAACAAGGCAGCATCTGGAATCCTTTAAAAGGAAAGGGGAGGAGAGACTGAGGGAGTGGAGGGGGCTACAGAGCATCTGTTGAATATTTAGGCTATACAGGATGTCAGCAGGGTCATATTTCTGTGAGACATTTTAAAATTTAAGGGGAGTGTGCAACCCTGTTTGAAAAATAATATAAAATAAACAGCAAAAATGAGAAGATGTAATCAAGTAATTTGGATGATTAGTAGTATTCATTGCTAAAAAAAAGATAGGAGACTCAAAACGTTACATGAGATAGACGTTCAAAGACAATACGTCAAAGACAGCAAAAGAAAAAGACTGAGAACAGGGGAAGTCTGGCCAAAGCACTCGGTCTCTTCCTGCCTGACGATCGGCTCAGGAAGTTGAAAAACAGAGGGGAGGGCTGACACAGACAAATATATTTTCCCTTTGGCTTTTAGTTTTCCCTTATTCAGTCCTGTTCCGATCAACAAGGGGAGAAAAAGGGGGGCATAGAGCAGGCGGGGTTTTCGATGGAGCTGAGAGAGTGACAGATAACAGTCGAACACTCAGTCTGTGGATATATAATGGAAGCCAGCGTTGTTTCCCAGGACACTGGGTGAGTTTGTTGTGTCTGTGACACTGTGACAATACAATGTAGGAACGGCTGTTGTAACTGTTACAGAGGGGGAGGGGGAGTCGGAGGTCCAAAGTCGGACAGCCAGAGCAGGAAAAACAGATGTGATGACTCACTGACTATTATATAGGTCAGTGGCTTACAGAGTTTTTTGGAATATCCTGATCCTAGATTTCTAGTGCATGAATTGTGAGAGAAAATACAGAAATGCTGACATTTCTGTGTTTGGTTGTGTGGACATATGCGAGGGACTGAAAGTTGCTACTCAGCACTTGGAAAAGGCAGTGCAGATGGTTTGGGAAAGCATGAAACCTTCTGAATGTACACAGCCAGGATTTCTTCACAGTAGAATCACGTCAAGTTAAAACTTTACACTCTGTTGCAGTGATGGTGTAACAGTAACTGTAGGATCATTTCTGCTACTCAGTTTTGTCCATTTTATTTACTGCCAGGGTTGTATTCTTTGTTCTTTCTAATGTTTTTATAAAAACTGATCATCTTAAAAGCCATGCCAGGTCAGGGTCAGTGGTAGGTGTAGAATTCAGATCATTTGCTTATGTAAAAGCATCAGTACTGCATTATAAAATAAGTACTCTATTAATAATGTGTCAGTTGCCATGAATAAAAAAGCTGGCTTTTAATGAGATTTATTTTAGAACAATGTGACCACACAGTGCAGTTTGAGTTTCCATACGGTGGCTTCCCACACTACTCACACTGCTTACTCCCCCCTTCGGACTGCAGATTACAGTATGTAATTTGAAGTTGTTGGCAAACTTTGTGTTGCATCACAAGCAGAATGATGTAGCATCCTGTTGGTGCCTTTAAGTTTCTTCTCTCTTTCCAACTGTGCTTTGTGGGTTTGTGTGTGCGTGTGTGTGTGTTTAGAGGGTAAACTATTTCACAAAAAAGGAGAACGAAAAAGTCTTCAGTGTCAGTCCTACAAAACTGAGTTCACCATGTGACTACAGATCACACCTCATCAGTCCTGCTTCAGCCAAACATGGGATAGCATTAGACACCCTGGACACTTTATTTCACTTTTATCCTCAATGCCATGTGGTAACATTGCACACTTATATTTACAACATTGTATTTTGAAAGTAAGGTGGATGTTATAAATAATATTCATATGATTCCAGACAACAATAGATTTAAATCTGTAATGTGAGCTGACATTACAGTCCTTAGGATTGCACACTCACCTTTTTCAGTGTAGGAATGAAACTGAGTACTTTCACTCAAGTACTGTATTATTTACAATATTATTATTAGTATTATTTAACTTTATCAGAGTATTTCCATTTCATTCTAATTTATACTTCTCACAATTCAAAGAAAATATGATTTTTGCTGCACTACATTTATTTGGCAGCTTTAGTTACTAGTTACTTTACACATGCATATTTTACATTCAGAATATTTGAATATGTTTTGTTGTAGTTTAAAGTAAACATACGGTATATAAATTACTTCAAATTAGATCAATCTCGACCAGCAACAACAGTAAAATGCTACTTGTATATTAATGCATCATTAATTTCAATAGTCATATACTATACTCTGTAGCACTGAAGAAGCCAGATTCCCCATAAATTTTACTTACTGTTATTTTTGATACTATAGATACAGTTTGCTGATAATATTTAAAATTTTGAATGCAGGACTTAAAGTGAGTTAAAATGAACATGCTGTAGTATTTAATACAGTGCTGGGTGCACCTAGGTGGTAATGGTTTGGAGATCAAACACACACCAACCACACTGTCTTACACTGTCTTTGACCTGCTGAAAGTAAAACCACCAAACCTCATTGATGGAGGTTCCTCTGCCATCTGAAGCCAAAGGAGAGTTAGCTGGTTTCCAGGTGGAGGTGACAGGTACTGCAGCAAAAATGATGTAATTTGACATGTGATATTCAACATGTATCATTTTAATCAGCAGACCACCAGGATTGTAACCATCTCCTGCTAATATTTATGCCACTCAAAGACAAAACTACCTTGTCCTAATCCCACATAACCTCACTGATTCCCCTCACAAAGATAATGTTGCACTTGACCCTCTTCTCTGTTCCTGGTATTGGCAGCCACTAGCCTGACTACGATGATGTGATATTAGCTAGCTGCTAATAGACACTCTGACCAGGTAAAGGATAAGAAAAAGGATAGACTCTATTTTTCTGATCATCATAAAAAGATTAATACAAACAATGAATCGGTCATACTAATAAGTGCTGTGTGTGTGTTATTACTTTGTGCCATCAAGCTCTGGTGTTGTCAAAAACTAAGAAAACACACAGTAATGACCTACACCTTTACAGTTCAATGATGTAGCAGATTCACAACAACAAAGTGGTCACTGCTAATCTTCTCAGCAACTGTTTCAGTTATTCACAGTAATGAACCACATCATGCCACAAACCTCATGCAGTACGTAAGGTCATCTTAAACTCTGGTTAGTCCCTGCAATCAGAGAAAACAAGTCGAGCTCTGGTGAGATACTGTCTGTATTAGAGGAGGCAAACTGAAGCTGGGACAGGACATTAACAAGGCCTCCATATGTTCTTTTCATACCATACTGTATGTTTGTCTCTTCACAGCCACACAAGCCCTCTGACAGGAGCACTCGACACTCCGTCCATCTCCTCATCTTCTCCCCTCTCTCCACCTTCCCTGCCCTCCCACCCTCCAGCCCGGCCATGTCGACCCAAACCACCACCTCCTATAGTAAAATCCTCCCATCTCCCCTCTCGACCTCCTCTACCTCCACCCTCTTCTCTGTCCCTCCCTCCTCCTCCTCTCCCTCCTGTCTCTAATCCTGTTCCTCTTTTTGCTCCTCCCCCAAATCTTCCACCTCCTCTCTCCCCTACCCAGGTCACCCCATCTCCACTGCATTCTCCCCAGCCAAGTGTCTCCTCTGATCTTACTACTCCCCAATCTATTTTGCTTCCATTATCTCCTACAGTATCATCCTCCTCCTTGTCACCCCCACCTCCACCTCTCCCTGTCATTCCACCATTTTCTCCTGCTCCTTCATTGCCATCCCCTATCGATTGCCTGGTTGGGAGTGCCTCCATCTGGCAACCCAAAGGACTCAGTCAAGACCAGACCGCTAGTATATTGGAGAAGGAGATGCCTGGGGTGAGACACATATACATTTACAGATGGTTTTTGCCATAAATCTTTGAATTAGAGCTTAATTCTATTTTGCATGTCTTATGAGAATCAAATGAAAGAGTTTAGCTTGTTGTACAACTAATCATCAGGGGTAGCATCACTCCTATAGAGCTCTAGAGGATTGTTGCATTTTTTTCATGAAAACCATCAAAGCTTAATGGGCAACACTTAATTGTACAGTTACATAATTCCCTGAAAATGTTTGTGGATGTCTCCTGAAATAAACTATGTGATTTGGTAGTGGAGTAATTATATGGAAAATGCTGACAGCTTCCTTGACATCTGTTTGAGTTTACTAGTTGAGTTTAAAGAGCCCATGGCATGCGTTTCCTTGTTTTCTGTCATGATTCGGTTACGCTGCTTCCCGTCCGGCTTTTATTTTGACGTTACTTCCTGTTTTTGTTTCACCTTAGTTTCGGTCTTTTTACGTTCTTTATCACTCACATTAATTTCACCTGCTTCGTTATTGCTTGCACATGTTTACACCTCTATTTAGGCAGCGTCCTCCCACCAGGACGCAGCCAGATCGTTCTAGACCCCAGCTTTGACTTTCCAGCTTTCCTTCGGTTTTGGTATCTTGTGTTTCTGACCCGGACTGCTTCCTTGGATTATTCTGTTCTGCCTTGCCCTCTTATTTCGGACTGCTTCAGTGAATCGGCTTAACGGACTTATCTTTGGACAACGCATTTTGGATTCCCCTGGATGTATGTGTTTGCTGGCTCTGACCTCAGACTGTTAAGGACATGTGAGTTTTATGTTTTCACCATGTCTTGTATGGTTTTTCTTTTGTTCAACGTTAGTTCTCTTAATAAAGAGATGGTTTTGTTTTACACTTCCTCGTCTGGCCATTTAATTGAGTTCACCTAACACTTTTCGGCCGCATTATGCACATTGTTTCTGACAGTACAATCTGGCCAAATTGAACTCAGCCAGCGAGGACATCAGAGCCAGTCAATCACTAGCCCTGCCATACACACCCACTATCACACACATAACCATGGACCCCGTGGACACACCCGACGCTGTTGCAGAGCTGGGGCAGAAACTAAGCAAGCTCTGCCACCGGCTCTACAACCTCCACCTCATGGAGACCTACCTGAGCCCAGCAAAAGCCCAGGAAGTCTACCAACAGCTACAGGCCCAGATGGTTTCTCCGCTCTCCCGCCCCACACAGAGCCCCTCTCCCTTCGAGGGAACCTGGTGGGCTATATGCCCTGGGGGTCCAGGGATTAGTTTGCACCACGTTATAAGCAGCCTTCACCCATTAACCTTCCTGTTATGTTCTGGGTCAAATTGACCCAGTGCAAAGTAACAAAACAAAATCTAAAAAAAATAGTTAAAAATATTTTATTCCTGTTTCGGAGATATACTCGTTCTATAAGTTCATTATCTAGTCTACGATTCCCAAATACCATAAATTTAGTTTTATCCAAATTTAGAGCTAGTATATTACTTATCACACCATT